GGGGGGAGGGGGAGGTGTGGGTGGATCAGTAGGGAAGAAAGTTTCTGCCTACCCATCAAATGCTCTTCTGCCCTCCCTGAACAGGCTCTGAGAGGCCCCACCCTCAGCTTGGTACCCTAAGATACACTCCATGGGGTCCCAACTCCATGGGGTCAGAACTAGAGAGAGGGAAGGATAGGGGCTGAGAGGGATTCCAGAGAGGAAAGATTTCCTAGAAGAGTGAGCGTAGGGGTTGGGCTTTGATGTATGGGTATGAATTCTCTAGGCAGGGAAGGGCATTTCAAGAATGGGAAGAGCATAAAAACACATAGGCGGAGTGTGGTTTAGTAGAGCCACAACATGGGTTAAAGGCAGAGGCAAGAGAATTTTGACAGCTAGATGCTGCGGGCTTTCAACTCTGAGCTTGGGGGAGCCATGGAATATGTCTGAGCTGTGGAGGGCGCAGTCAGAGCTGGAGGGCTTGCTTCTGAGTTTCTGATGGAAAGTGATAAAGCCTGGGCCCAGGCCTGGGCAGGGGTAACCAGGAAGACATCTCTGGGGTAGAATGGACCAGATTTGTGTCGGGGACAGAAATGGGGTAGGGAAGAGCAGGAGGAAGAGCCGGGCCCAGATCAGAGAGATGGGAAACAGGGCCCACTTAAAAGAGTGGAGATGGTTCTGGTTAGACAGCTGGGGAGAGGCTCACAGACAGATGGACAAGGACAGACAGTACATGCAGGGGCAGGAATATTTAGAGGCAGACAGATGGGCTGGAGAGGGGAAACAGGTCATCAGCCTGGGCTCCCTAGGGTGGGGTATTGATGATACTAGGACTTATTCTCTCCAGGCCCCTGACATCCACCCTCCCTGTGTGGCCACTAGGCACAGTTCTCGCACATGGGTGCCTCCATGCACCTGCGCACGCCCTTCACCTACCGTGTGCCTGATGACGCCTGGGCCTGCTTCTTCGGGTGCAACCTGCTGTATGCGCTGGGCCCCCACCTGCTGGCCTTCCGCTGCCTTCAGTGGCCCGCCTTCTTCCTGCGCCCTCCCCCTGGCCCCCCGGCCCACCACAAGAAGCAGCACTGAGAGGGCTGGGGACTCCCCAGGACTCTGTTTACATGCCTAGCAAGCCCTGCTTGGGGAAGGGTGGGCTGGGTTGTTTAGAGGCAGAAAGTACATCTCCAGGTGCCTTTGGTCCTGCCCATGGTGGTTTCAGGCCAATGGACAGGATGGGAGGCCCAAGGGCCAAGTGTTCCCACAGAGAGGGCCACAGACATGCTCAGCTGTCATGGTACCCCAATCCCACAGGACACTTCTACTGCCTCCCAGAATTTACCCATCATACCATACCCCACGGACCCTTTAGTAAAAAACCTTTTGATGCCCAAATATTGCTGCTGCCTGAGTGTTTCAGGATTCAGAGGTCAGGGACCTGCTTTTCAGACCCCATGAGGGCCTACCCATCACTGCCAGCGTGGCCATCAGGAGCTGGAGAAGCCGGACAGCAGAAGTCTGCCTCTGGTTGGTATGCACAGCTCCATCTTCCAGATGGGGAAAACTGAGGCTCAGAGAGGTCAAACTCTGTCTGAGTTCACAATCAGTAGAGAAGCGTCTGAAACCTAAGTTCTGACAATAAATTATAAATACTAATAGTGTGGCACAGTTATTAAGCACCTACCGTATACCATTTCAAGGGCTAACCTCAAGTGGTACATGCTGGATCTTACCATATATTCCAGATGGGGAAACTGAGCCTGCAGGAGGTAAAGGTCCTGTTCGGAGGTCATGGCTCCTGGATGCAGCTGAGCTAAAGGACAGAGCCCTGGCCTAGCCCATCCAATCATGGACTCTATAACCCTGCCTCTGCTGTATGGTTGGTTCATATTTTGGGGAAACTGAGGCTGAGGAGGCAGCCAAGGGGTTGAGGAAAAGGCTCATTTTATTCCAGGTTCAATGGTTCATTTTCATTCCTGGTTTGAACTTGGGTGAAGGGCCAGGTTCTGGGGGTGACTCAGGCCCAGAGTGGGTCGGGCTTGATCAGACTCCCCTGTTCCCTGCCCCTACCAACATTTCTTAGGCACCTATTGTGTTCCTAACCATTGGATCTTCACCAAAGAACCACCCAGCACTCTGTTTCCCAGAGGTGGAAACTGAGGCTCAGAGACACCAAGCCTCTCTTCCAAGGTCCTACAGCAGGTGAGAGGCAGAGGCAGATTTGAACCTGTTGCTGCAAGTTCCCTCTGCAGAGTGTGTGACTGTTATGTGGGGCCCCCACTCCGCAGAGTGAGAACCTTTTGGTGCCCAGGACACTGCGATGGCCGCCAAGTGACAAATGGGAAAACTGAAGCCTGCAGGCCAAACCCCTTTCGCAGGTTACTGAGCCCTCCCGATTCACCTTGGGTATCCTGCATGGAAGACTCCATCAGGCCCCCCTCCTCCATTTTAGAGATAGTTAAACTGAGGCCCAGAGTTTCCTCTGCCTGCCCAAGACCAGCCAGCAGGATCGGCGACGTGGACCTGAACTCACTGTCCAGCGCGGTCCTTCCTCGGCTTGCGCCCCTGGTTTCTTCCCGGAGCGCGTGTCGCTGCGTCCCCTTTAAAGCTCCTCCCCGCTCCCGCGTCCGCCTCCCTCCTCCCCTTGCAGGCAGACGCCGGGATTGCGCCGCCTGAAGGGACTTGCCCAGTCCTTCCTGGGTGTTCGGGGAGCGCAGTCCCGGCGCGTAGGGGCCGCTCGGCGGGGGCCGCACGGGCAAGATGGTGAGTGGGGCCACGGGCGCGGGTCCCGGTAGGTCCCTCTCTGGGAATCTGTCTCGCTCTGTGTCTGAATCTACGCCCCTCAGTGTTTCTCCTCTCAGTCTCTCTCTCCCTGCTCCACCTCTCCCGTCCCCTCCGTCTCTCACCCTCTTGTATCTCTGTTCCTTGAACTCTGCCTCTTTTATATCCCTCTCCTCTCCCTACTTTTCCCTCCCTCTTTTTGTCTTCCTGGTCCCTTTTCTTTTACTCTGAGTCCCTACCTCCGCGTCCCCCTTCTCTCTTCTCCTCTTGCTCCCTTTCCTCTCTCCCCTTCAGTCTCTGTCTCTTCCATCTTTCCTTAGCTTCTGTGTCTCTTTCCCTCTCGCGGTCTCTCCTCTGCCTCTCCTTCTCTATCTCCATCTCCCCCTGCTTTTCTCTGTCTCGTTTTCTTTTCCTCGCCCTCTTAGCCTCTCCCTCTCTCTTCCTCTACCCCTCGCACCCCCTCCCCCGCCGCCCCCACACCCCCGCCGCTTTGCTGCAGTCTCCTGGCGCACGGATAACCTTGCCGCTGCCGCTGCTCCAGCTCCTCCCCCCCTCCCTCCCAATCCTGGCCTGGGCCGGCCAGAGAAGGGGGCGGAGCTCCGAGCCACCAGTGTTGGGGTGAAGGGGATCTGGCGGGTGGCCTGCGCTCGACTAAGGGCAGGTGAGCCCAGGGGTGTGCGCTTTGCGTGGGAACTAGAGTGTCAGGTACCGGGAGAGTGCGCGGGTTAGGGGGTGGAGGCTGGGAGGGTCTGCCAGCCTTCCCCTTGGAAGATTCCTCTGGGACCCTGGCCGAGGTGGGGACCTGGGCATGTGAGAATTCCTCGCCGTGGGGAAGGAAGGTCGGGGCTAGTCCTCCGACAGGCAAAGTCCAGGAGGCTGGACTGAGTGCCGTATGCCCCCAGGTGTGTGCTCGGGCGGCCCTCGGTCCCGGCGCGCTCTGGGCCGCGGCCTGGGGAGTCCTGCTGCTTACGGCCCCCGCAGGGGCGCAGCGCGGCCGGAAGAAGGTCGTGCACGTGCTCGGTGAGTCTGGACAGCAGAAGCGGGTCTTGCCCCACGGGAGCCATGGCCAAATGTGATGGCCTGAGTGCAGGGAGGTTGTAGGGGGTAGGGCATTGAGCTGTTCCTGATAGCCGGAATTCCCCCCCCCCCCCCCCCCCCCCCCGCCCCTACCCCTCTGAGTTCCAGTTCCCTTCCCTGAACTCCTTTAACCTTCGGATCTCCTGACCTCCACCCAGGTCTTTTTCCCATAACACTTGCCTGGGATCCCCTTCCCCAGGTTCCCCACTCCGCTTCCTAGGACCACTTCTGAACTCTGCTTGACTCTCCCACAGAGGGTGAGTCGGGCTCGGTGGTGGTGCAGACGGCGCCTGGGCAGGTGGTCAGTCACAGGGGTGGCACCATTGTCTTGCCCTGCCGCTACCACTATGAGGCAGCTGCCCACGACCACGACGGCGTCCGCCTCAAGTGGACCAAGGTGGTGGACCCACTGGCCTTTGCCGATGTCTTCGTGGCGCTCGGCCCCCAGCACAGAGCATTTGGCAGCTACCGCGGGCGTGCGGAGCTGCAGGGTGATGGGCCTGGGGATGCCTCCTTGGTTCTCCGAAACGTTACGCTGCAAGATTATGGGCGCTATGAATGCGAGGTCACCAATGAGCTGGAAGATGACACTGGCATGGTCAAGCTGGATCTCGAAGGTAACCAGCCCATGGACAGGATGAACCATGTTTCTAAGGAAAGAGAGTGGGAGATAGTGCAAAGGATAGGAACCAAATCAAGTTGACCTAAAGGAATTTAGGGGTAAGGTAATTATTCTGATCTGGGGTGAATTTGCTCCCCAGACACATTGGCAATGTCTAGAAAGGGGTTGCTGATGGCAGCTAGTGGGTAGAGGCCAGGGATGCTCCAATACATCCTACGATGCACAGGACGGTCAACCCCCTTCCCTTCCCTTCCCCCCGCCCCCCTTGCAAAGGATGATCCCATCTAAAGTGTCAATAGTAAGGACTTTGGGAAACCCTGGGGTAGGATCCAGGCACAGTTAGATCCAGGGAGATTGACTCACACCATGTCAGGAATCCCTTCCTCACCTGTTTCCCTGAGTGGGCTTTCCTCAGGCAGGTTTTCAGCTCAGCAATTAATTTCCTAACAGGGCTAGATAGAGTCCCAGAGTTGTCCCTCATTGGCCCAGCTTGAGTCATGTGTCCATCCATGAGCCAATTACCGTGGCCAGGAGATGGGATGTTCTGATTGGCTGACTGTGGAGCTGGGAGGTGGGCGTTCTATCTGAAGAATTCCCTCCCACCTGGTTCTGCTTCCTCAGCCCACCCAGGAAGATTCTAGGAGAAATTTCAGAGCCCTCACTTGCTGAACCTCCCAACAATAGCAAATAATAATAATAGCAGCTCTCCTTTATTGGAAGCTCTATGTGCCATGAGCTTGAAGAGCTCGCTGGAGTCTCTTGTTTAATTTCCCCCAAACTCTGAGGGAGATCCTATTACCAGCAGATGGGCAGTTGACTCAGGTTAGAGCCTTGCCCAGGACACATGCAAATGAGTGATAGAGCCAGGACTCAAGCCTCCATCTGTCAGGGTCCAGGCCTTCTCTCTGACCCCTGTTTGTTCCTCCCTTCATCTGCTGAGAGATGCATCGGCACCTCCAAGGTCTGCCCCTCAAACACACATCACAGAATGCTGCTGAGCTGAGCTGACTGTGGGTTCAGTGAAGGACAAGTTAGAAGAACTGAAGGTGGAAGAGAAATCAGTGGAAACTGCCCTGGACAATGCTGGGGATCAAAGATGCTTTGCCAAGTGTCATACTTCCAGGGGCTCCCTGCGGGGGAGTCAGCACGGGACACAGATATCCCCAGCTTCATGGGCTCAGGGCTTGACCAGAGGGAAGCTCCCAGTGCTGAGAGAATGTCAGGAGCACTAAAGACTGAAGGGAGGAGGGTGGCGGCAGCTGGGTTTTGAAGGACGAATAGGAGTTCAGCAGGTGGAAAAAAGTGGAAAGAACATAAGCAAAAGTCTCCAGCGGTGTAAAGGGGGTGGACGTGATTAAGTATCTTAAGAGGGAGGGTCAAGTGAACCCCAAACTTAAGGCAAAGGGAACCATTAGGAGTGTGAGCTTGGCAAGGGTGTCCTCAGGTCTGAGGCCAGAGTGGAGGGATGGAGTGGAAGGTCTAGGCTGAAGAGTCACGCAGCACCCCACAAGTCGGGTGGGTAGGAGAGTGTTGAGATTCCCAAGCTGAACCGTATGCGTCCTCCCAGGCGTTGTCTTCCCTTACCACCCCCGTGGAGGCCGTTACAAGCTGACCTTCATTGAGGCGCAGCGCGCCTGCGCTGAGCAGGACGGCATCCTGGCATCCGCAGAGCAGCTGCACGCTGCCTGGCGCGACGGCCTGGACTGGTGCAACGCAGGCTGGCTGCGCGACGGCTCGGTGCAGTACCCGGTGAGCCAGCCCCGGGAGCCCTGCGGCGGCCTGGGCGGAGCCGGGAGTTCCGGGACGGGCGGCGGTGCTGCCTCCGGGGGCGTGCGCAACTACGGCTACCGTCATAACGCCGAGGAACGCTACGACGCCTTCTGCTTTACATCCAACCTCCCGGGTGCGTAGGTCTGGCCCCTACGAAAGAAGCCCCGCCCTCATGGGGGCCTCTCCCGTCCCTCCCTGTATCTTTCCCACCGTCTGTTTCCTCTCCTTCGCCCTTCCTATCCACACCGGCCCTCCTGGGTCCAGGCCAGGATATCCCACCCCTAGGACTACCCTGGCGCACCAATCAAGCATCGCTTGGCATCAACATTGTCCTAACCAATGGGGTCCAGGAATGCAGGGGAAGGGGTGTTCCTGAAGTCTGTGGCTGGGGTCCTGGGTTGCAGGGACGTAGGGGGTGGGGAGCATCCTGAAACCCTAGGAGGCCAGATCCCGGGAGTGGCCTTAACCACTCTCCCCCACTCCACCGCAGGACGTGTGTTCTTCCTGAAGCCGCTGCGGCCTGTACCCTTCTCGGGAGCAGCGCGCGCGTGCGCGGCGCGCGGCGCGGCCGTGGCCAAGGTGGGACAGCTGTTCGCCGCGTGGAAACTGCAGCTGCTGGACCGCTGCACCGCGGGCTGGCTGGCCGACGGGAGCGCGCGCTACCCCATCGTGAACCCGCGCGCGCGCTGCGGCGGCCGCCGGCCGGGCGTGCGCAGCCTGGGCTTCCCCGACGCCACGCGCCGCCTCTTTGGCGTCTACTGCTACCGTGCACCCGGAGCGCCAGACCCCGCACCAGGAGGCTGGGGTTGGGGCTGGGCCGGCGGTGGCGGCTGGGCCGGAGGCGCGCGCGACCCCGCCGCTTGGACCCCGCTGCGCGTCTAGATCCTGGGCGCAGATGGCTGGGGTGCTTGGCGGCTGGCCGAGTGCTCTGCGGTCTCTTGGAGACAGACCACGTGACTGGAGACTGGCCTCTCCCCCTGCGGTGCGTAGCAGGCTGACCAAGCCTCCTGTGGTCTTTGAACACCGGCTGCGCCCCCGAGGTCCCCATAGACTGGCCAATCCCGGGAGACTGACCAAGCCCCCACCTCTCCTGGATAGTGGATTTCCCCTCCTCCTTCGACTTTCTCCAGGAGATGGGGCATGCCCCCTGAAGACCCCTGGAGGCCAACAGACGCTGAGGTCTCCTGAAGACTACTGGCAATGCCTCCCCAGGTCACTTGGAAACAGACAGAATCACCCCCTCCCCCGCGGTCTCCTGGAGGCTGGACCCCCGGGATTATCTGGAGATTGGCCTCAGGCCCTCTGCATCTCCCTGGAGACTGAAGACTGATCCCTTAACCCTCCCCCCCAACATGTATAGAAAACAGAAACCTCAGAGTTCACCAGGTGATCACGCCCCCATGGTCACATGGAGACAGGGCTCCTGTCCTCTTCCCTATGGTGACCTGGATATTAGGTATTCCCATTCTTCCCCCCTTCCACTGCGAGTCCTCCAAGTTTGCAGAATAACAGGCCACGTTCCCCGGTCACTGTGAACAGCCCCGCTCCTCCAGTTTCAGGGGAGACCAGCCTCGTCTGTCACCACAAAAACAGATTGACATGCCCCAGCCGGCTCGCATGACTGGCGGCCATGCCCCACCCCTCAGGTATGTCTTTGGAGGGAGCAAATCTGCTCCCACTTGATGGCCTCTTTCCTGGCTGTCACCAAAGAGACCATCCCCTGGGCCCAGGGATCCGTAGGATCCGTGTCACTAGCTGTGGAGAAAGCTGTCCCACTTCCCATGTTACCAAGGCGACCAGCCCAACTTCTACCTGTAACCTAGTCACATAGCCCTTCCCTCATCAGTCACACCCATGGAGATAGTGCCTCCCTCCTCCAGCTGTAACCATGGATACCACACGTTTCCCATCTCACCTCCGGGACACCAGAGAGCTACAACTCTGCTTCTTGAAGTCCCCATCCTTACCAACAGCAATGAAGACCACTCTCCCCTACCCCCAGAACTGTCCTGAGAGTGTCCCAACATTCAGTTCTCCAGTTTTCACCATGAGAACGGGCTGCCCTTTCCCCAGGTGCACCCCAGCTCTTTGCCCCCCATCCAAGCTCCCTCTCCAAGCTGCTTGAGCCCCACAATGGTTGCCATGGAAGCCAAACTCTGGTGTTTGAGGTGACAGAACACCTGTCCCCCTAGGCTTTCCCATGTCAGCAGGGCCCCACCCCATCAAACTGTCACCGCAGAGACCGGCAACGTCGTCTCCATGACAACCAACCTCCCAGCTCTCAGGAACTTCTTACCATGGGTGGGAACTGCACCCCACGGGATTTAATGTCTGCTCCTTAACCAGAGAGGCCCAGCCCCAGGCAGCATCTCCAGATATGGCTGGGCTTCTGGAGCTGCTGGACATTCCTCCGTTTGCACGCTAACTATATCCCAGACAACAGTTGTGCACGAGACACCCTGCAACCCCCAGAGGTCTGGCAGCCCCAGCCCTTTATGCTGTGCAAGCACTGGGCTCCCCACATCCCCTCTGAGACCACATCTCCATCCTCACTGAGTTCTCTCCTCTAACTGCCCCCTGCCCCACGTTTCACTCCTTAGAGATCCAGGAGAGACAGAATGTTTTTTACACTTCAAAATCCACAGGGAGCTACAGGCTCTAAAGGACAATTTGTGCTAAGAGGTCAGAACCCAGCCAAACTCCCCCCAGCGTTGAGAGCCAGCTCGGGAGAGATGGCCCATGAACAAAGCCACCCCAGCTGTGGGAGCCCCCAGATCCAAGGTCTTCCATGGAATAGCACTGAGGCCCCTCCTGGAACCCTCGGCCCCCTTATTGTCACATCCATCTTGAGGAAACCCATCCGTGAGTTGTGGAATCAGGTGGGTTGGGTTCAAATCCTGCTGCTGCGACCAAGTGACAACCCCCCTGAGCCTGTTTCCTCCTCTGTACCAGAGCTGTTCTGAGGTCTCAGTGAGTGCAAAGCATACAGCAGGGGCTCAATAAAAAAAAAGTTGTTTTGTTTTGTTTTTTGGATGAATGAGAAAATGAGGCAGCCGATGGGTAATTACTTCATAAATGTACTTTGGTGGACAAAACGTTTCCCAGCTGGGGGTGTGTGATGATGATTTGCTTGAGAAGCATCACCCTCATTCCTCAGGACCGCCTCTACTCTTCAATTTTCCCCACCTCTCCACTCCCCCCATTCTGCCTTCACTCTCTTCCTTGCATCATCCCCCATGTGTCTGGCCCTTCACAGCCCTGTCCCGACCGGCTCGTTGACAAATCCAGTGGTTCCTCTCAGTCCCCCAGGCACCCAAGTGTGCAAAACTGGATGGAGAGTTCTTGTATGGGGAAGGCAGAGAGGTTGCAAATTTTCCCTGGTGCGGAGGTGGAGTAGGGGTGGGATCGTGGCCCGAGAAACATTGACAGTTTCTGGGATACGGACAGAGGGAAAAGAGAACAAAGTGTAAAACCGATTAGGCTGTAGAAGTGAGATGGTCGGTGTAACTGCTCATCCTTCAATACCAGATGTGACAGCCTTCCAAGAGACTCAAGCCACTCATCTGAAGGCAGCGTCCAGCCCCTTCGTGAGACAGCCTTGGGCTCCAGCTGGCCTTAGCTTCCTTGAATGGGGGAATGGTGAGAGGCGTATTTCCAGGGACGAGTGCATGGGATTTCTTTCATCCCTCCTTTTCCCTGCGGTTCCTTTCTCCCTTCCGCGGTTCCAGTTCCCTATTTTGCCTTGAATATGTACTTTTCTAACCCCCACTCCTACAATGAGAGTCTAAGGGGCTGACACCGCCCACTCCCAGTTCAGCCAATGAGTGCGGTGGCACACCTCCCCGGGAAACCCTGATTGGTGCAGGGATGGTTAGGGAGGTAGGCTGACGGTGAGACTGAGTCCTGGGATTTTAAGAAACCAATTCGACCAGGGGGACCTTCCTCCTACTGGAGTTGCTGCATCTCCCACCTAAGGGAGAGCTAAGGGTTGGTAAACTGGATAGAACCCTTTCTGACGCCAGATATTCAGAAAAACCACTCCTTCCCATCGTACAGCCCTCCGTTCACTTCCCAGAGAACTCCAAAGTTTCTATGTGCCCTTCCGGAGATGTTTTATGTTCATTCAAACAAATATGCATATGCATTCCCCCCCCCCATTTTTACACAAATGGCATTTACACAACATTCACACTGTTCTATCATTTCTATCTAGTTCCAAGACATTTTTATCATCCCCAAAGAAAACCCCATACTCATGAAACAAACACTCCCCATTCCTCCCTTCCCTACCCCCCTGCCCTGGCAACTGTTTAACTTTCCATCTCCAGAGATTTGCCTATTTGTGTAATTGATTTTTAAAAAAAAAATGTTAAGTACTCTCTACACCCAATCTGGGGCTCAAACTCATAACTCCAAGATCAAGAGTTTCATACTCTACCAAATGAGCCAGCCAGGCGCCCCTAGATTTGCCTGTTCTTGATGTTTCATACAGAGTCATATAATATATGTCCTTTTGTGTCCAGCTTCCTTCACTCAGCATAATATTTTTGAGTCTCCTTCATGTTGAGTGTGAATCAAGACCTTATTCCTTTTCATGGCTGAATAATATTCTGTGGTATGTGTATGCCACATTTTGTTTATTCGTTCATGAGTTAATGGGCATTTGGGTTTTTCCACCTTTTGGCAATTGTGAATAATGCTGCTATGAACATTCTGGTGCCATGTATACTTTTAAAGTCATTCTTCTTTGACTTAATAATATATATTTGAGATAGTTTCCATCACCGTATAAAGATCCCCCACCCCCATATCCTTTTGAAAGTTGGCAGGTTATTCATTGTTTGGATGCACCGTCATTTTTGTAGCCCACTTCCTAATGGCAGACATTTAGAGTCCCCTATTTTGCTGTGAATAAGTGCCCACATCATCTCACACAAGTATAACCAGAGGAGGATAGAGGATATCAAGAGCTTTGAATCAAGGAGTCACATTTGCCACTTCGATAGTGGTCTCCACCTTCTCTTAGGGGTGGGGCCAGTTTATACCCCACCAGTAATAGATGTACTTGCCTCTTTCCACACATCTTAATCAGCATTGTGTGTTATCCCTTTTTACCATAGTGAACCTGATAAATAAGAAACGGTATCTCATGGTGCTTGTCACTGGCTGTTCTCTTATTATGTGTGAAACCGAACAGACATTCTCCACTTTGACGTTAGGTGCAGGTGGTTGAGGAAGTCATAAATCGTTCTCAGGTTGGGTATGCTGTCATCATCGATCAGTGCAAGCCTCCTCTCCTGTTAGATTTATTTGATTCTCTTTTTAAATATGCTCTTCTTGGGGCGCCTGGGTGGGTCAGGCGGTTATGCGTCTGACTTCAACTAAGGTCATGATCTCATGGCTTGTGAGTTCAAGCCCCACGTCGGGCTCTGTGCTGACAGCTCAAAGCCTGGAGCCTGCTTCGGATTCTGTCTCCCTCTCTCTGCCCCTTCCCCACTTGCTCTCTCTTTCTCTCTCAAAAATAAATAAACATTGAGCAAAATTTTTAAAAATGCTCTTCTTTGTTCATCCTGATGTTCCTGCAAAATGTGTATTATTTTGTTGAGTATTGTTGTAGTTTAAGAGCATCTGTATTTCCTTTTCTGTGAACATGTTATTCACATCCTTTGCCTATTTGGCTATTGGATTATTAGTCTTTTTTTCCTATTGAATTGTAGGAGCTCTTTATATATTAAGACAAGTCTTTTATCTTTGATTTGAAAATTTGTTTCCAAGTTGGCATTTACCTTTTGACCTCATTTATGTTTTTTGTTTTGCTTTTTTTTTTTTTTTTTTTTTTTTTTTTTTTTTTTGGTTTTTGTCAGTATTGCTTTTAGAATGAAGCCTAAACTCCTCACTACAGCCCATATGGCCCTGAGTAGTCCATCCCCTGTGTCTCTGACCTCATTTCCTCCTACGATCAACCTCTATCACTCTGCTCCAGCCACTATGGATTCCTTGCTGTTTCTCAAATAGCCCATGTCCCTTCTGGAAGAGGATATTTGCCTCTTTCTTCTGCCTGAAAGTGTCTTCCTTTCTTTCCACTCCTCATCTAGTTAACACTACCCCTCCGTTAGATCCCATCCACCTCCTCTTGGAAGCCTTTCTTGACCACCTCCCGGGGGCATGTCTGTCTTGTTCACCATTATCTCCCCAGCACCCAGCACAGTACCTGGCTTATAATACCTGCTCAGCAAGTAGTTGCTGAGTAAATTAATGAAGAAAGGTCTCAGGAGGCGACAGGCAGGTGGAACTGTTAAAAAATTTTATTAAAATGTCCAAGAAGTACATTAATATCCACAGTGTCAGATACCACAGACCCACAGAACACTGCAGCTCACAGCAAAACCAGCAGAACCCGAAGCTGTTCACGCGCGCACACACTCACACGCATGCCACGCACGCGGCACACGCAAACACACGCACATCCCAAAGGGAAAGACTAAAAGACAAACCACCCACTTTAGAAAAGACCATAGCCCCCTCCCACCAGGGAGCTGGGTGGAGGCCGAGCAAGGGACTAAGGGGGCCAAGGGCAGGGAGCATAAACCAAGCCCCCCCTAAAAAAAAGCTGCACCCCCAAGCACCACCCCCAAAGGAAAATTATTTTATGACATGAATTATTGAAGATGTGTTATTATATTTTTAAAAGCAAAAAAAAAAATTATCAAAGCAAGAAGGCAAATGTACATCCCTGGGCTTTCTCTATAACTATAAGGTGGAGCAGGAGATAATGTCTATAGCGGGGAAGACTGAAGACCATGGTCAAGGATAAGGGTCTAGTTTGCACTTCTCAATCTTTTCCTAAATCTGCCTGTGCATATGAGAGAGTATAATTATGCTTCAGTCCATTCCCCCAAAGTAAAAGCGATGTTTGGAATCAGACAGATGAAGGACCAAATCCTTTCTCCTGTCTTGGCTGTGGATTCAAACCAGTGCCTTTCTCTTCTCTGAGCCTCACTCTTGTTATGTGTAAAATGGGGAAATAATAGTTCCAAAATCACTGGGCTGTTGAGAAGATTCAAGGAGATAGTGTGGGAGTCCTTAGCACAGTATAGACTCCATAGTTGTCGGCTATGATTATTCCTTCCCAGGAGGAATATAGGCTCAATCAACACATTTCTTTCTCTACTGAACCCTTGGACCATCTACTTTCTTATTTTTCTTTCTTGCAGAGGGCCATTCCCCACTGTAATTTTTAACACAGATCCACAGACTTTTCCCAGAGGAGAGGAGTTCAGAGGGGACAAAACATGAAGGATACCATGGGGGTTTTCCCTGCCAGAGATCAAGGAGCTGAATCCTGGCCTCTGGCTTGGAGAACTATTTTACAGGTTGCCAATTGGGGGAACAGATTTAGTCAGTTCTTTCCCACTTAAAAGATTTTTAAAAAGCAATGAGAGAAAAATGTGTGTGTCTCTATGTGTGTGTGTGTGTGTGTGTTTCAGTTTTTAACACTGTGCATTTCTCTACAACATGACCGCAGGAAGATGTTACTACTTCAAGTTTTAAGCATTTCTAGTCCACCAGGCAATGAATGAAGACAGGGATGGGGCAGGAGTGGGGGCAGGACCCAGGGCAGGGGCACTACCAATGTCTCTGGAGGGACGGGGATGGGCACTGAGCTAGAAAACTTGGCACCTCCTTGATCCAGGAAGGAGGTTCTTTGTCTCCCTGAGAGATGGAGGGGGAAGAAGAAATCTGGGCTCATCAAGCCCTAAACATCCTCTCATCTGTTGTGTGTGTGAGAGATTCACCACACGTACAGAACCACCAAATCTCAGCACTGGACTAGACCTGGGAGGGTAAGCAATACACCTTCCTTCTATTCCCGTATATTGCTCTGACTATTCTGACCCCTAACTCTGAGGGCACAGAAAGAGGTTATTCTAAAAACATTCCTAAAATTCAGTACATAGGAGTTCCATACTCCATTTATCCACCAAGACCAGAGAAGGAACTTGCGCTGAAGTCCAGGGTGAAGGAAGACAGCTGTCAAGTTCAAGCAGTGTGCTTCCATGGAGTTTTCTATTCCCAAAGCCAATGACCTTAACTAAAAGCTTCAGCCTGCATTTAGTAAACCTGCACATCTGACAGTTTACTAAGCCTGATCTTCTGTTGTGAAAAGCAATTCCTTAGTGTGAACCCAAACATACACTCTTGCACCTTCATCAAAGCCTTATTTCAACAACTGGTAATCAGCCTTGCCAACAAAAGACTTAACCAATGCAAAGAATGATCTTTGCTGATTGTGCTTCCCTTCACTGGGAGATGGTCCCAGAGTTCAGCCTGACTAGAACTGACTTTTCAGATACATGGCTATGCCTGCCAAGAGGACCTTGTGTATGTAAGAAAGAGGAGAGAGGAGCTTTTTACAAAGGATTGTGGAGGTGGGGGGGGGGTGTGGTTTGGGGCTCAGGGACTTCCAGACCCTCTTGTTTTTCTCTGGGCTCTGTCTCCCCAGGTGAAGGCTCCAGGGAAGGTGTGGGAAAGGGGTTGTGCTTCCTTTTGCCTGGTTCTTCAGCAGAAATTCCCTTCTTCCTTCTCCCAGTCCTCTGCTGGGTGTTTCTTGTGTTTTCTGCGCTCCTTGTGCGATTTATGGTGGTGACGCTGGTGATGGTGCTGGTGGTGGTGATGGTGTCGCCGCATCCGATGGGACCGTCTGGCTGCAGGGAAGTGAGGGAGGACAAGGAAGTGGCAAAAGGTGGTGAGAGGCGGGTGGCCTGATATAGCGGGCCTCTTCATGGGAAGGAGAAACGAAGGAAACACCAGGCAGGCTGGTAAGTTCTCATTTATCTGCAAGGCTGCATTATCAGGCATTCAGCCAGATGAAAGTGTGTAGCAATATGATGGGGGTTTTTTGTTGGTTTGTTTGTTTTTTGCTTCTAAAATTTTTGTTAATGTTCATTTATTTTTGAAAGAGAGAGACAGAGCGCAAGTGGGGGAGGGGCAGAGAGAGAGAGAGAGAGAGAGAGAGGAAGACACAGAATCCGAAACAGGCTCCCGGCTCTGAGCTGTCAGCACAGAGGCTGACGTGGGGCTCAAACTCATGAACTGTGGGATCATGACCTGAGCTGAAGTCGGATGCTTAACTGACTGAGCCACCCAGGCGCCCCAGTAATATGACATTTTAATTGGAGACCACACATAACTGGAAACCTGCGTTGGGGTGTCTGGGGACAGCCACTTACGTTTGGTGCAGACGATTTGGGGCTGGTCCCACTTGCCATTGCTCCGGCATCGGATGACGGCCACATGGTGCTGGGTAAATCCTTCATCACATTGGTATCGTACAGTGGCATGAACATTATACTTGGCCTTGCGAGCACCAATGGGTGAGGCATTCTGTACTGCTGGAGGGGGACCACACAGCACTGGAGACAGAGAAACCACTGGTAAGGGAAGTGACCATCAAGTCTGGGGCTGAACTGGTTTCTTCTCTTGGGAATAATTATACCCATCAGCAGGTCCTGCTCTTTACTCAATTGAAGTGACAGTGTCTGTCTCCTCTACCTAACCCAGGAGATCCTTAGGGGCAGGAACCTCCTGGACACATCCCATCCTCCTTAATCCTTACGCATAATAGCAATGAAGGTGGGAGATAAGAATAATATGAGTAAAGGAAAGGAAGAAAGGACATGAAAACTGTCACGGACACATAAGTAAGAATAAGCAAAAGTATAACAGAAAGGTGGACACGAGAACGCATATAAGTGTTCCCTTAATATGTAAAGAGCTCTCACAAATCAATAAGACCAACAAACCTATAGAACGTTATGCAAAGGAGGTGAACTTGCAGGTCACAGGAAAATAAATACATCCAAATAGCTTATGAACCTATGAACAGTCGGTTATTCTCATCCTTAAGGGCACGCAAACTCCCCTAACAAGTAGATCTTATTTTTTCACCGCCCAGATGAACACAGAACAAAAGATTTGAGAACACACAGAGTTGGCAAAGGTCGGGAAAAAATGGGCACTCTCACACAGCACTGTAGTGAAAATTGGGCAGGGCTGACTTACATTTACACATTTAAAGAGAACAAGGGCCCCGTGAAAGGCAGAGGCAAGTGTTGGGGAGGGTAGCAGCATACCTGTTCCCTTCTTACAGACATAGGGGAGGTTGTAGTTACAGGGAACGTCGTTCCAGCGCCCGCTCTCATGTGCAACCATCACCACACAGTCCTCCCCACCCGCGAAGAAATTGTCAGGCTGGTTCTCCCGCCAGTTCTCATATTGCTGCAGGAATAGGGAGCAGAGAGGCTCAGACTCTGTCACTGCTTACTGCAGGACTCCCCTGGCCAGCCTACTCAAACTTGAAGGACTCAGTGTTTCTATCTCTACAACGGGCACCGTTCTGCCGGATGGTGGCCTCCACTGCACCCGGAGTCACCCCTCCTCTGGCTGCAAGGCTGCAGTGCCCTCTTCCTTGGCCCTCCTACCTGCTTCCTTTCTCCCTGACAGTCTAATTTTCCACCTAGGTCACTCTGAGATAAATAGTTGAGCAAAGGTCCAGGAGGGATTCCCGGAGAATACAAGCGGATAGCTGAAGACTCAAGGGTAGAAATGATGCAGGAAGGGAACAGAATTCCAAGCAGAGGGAACAGCTAGCACAAGGGCCCAGAGGCAGGGCGGTGCTTATCCTGTTTGAGGAATAGAACAGAGGCCAGTGGGGCTGGAGCTGCTGGACTGAGTTGGGGTATGGTGAGTGTGGGTGGGCAAGGGCCAGTTCTTGCGGTAGAGGAGGTGGATTTTATTTATTTATTTATTTTAAAGCAGGCTCCAATGCAGGGCCTGAACTCACAACCCCGAGATCAAGACCTGAGCTGAGATCAAGAGCCAGATACTTAACCAACCGAGCCACCCAGGCGGCCCGAGGAGGCGGACGCTTTGAAACTGTGGTAAAATACATATAACGTAAAATTGACCATTTTAACCATTTTTAAGTGTCCGGTTCATTGGCATTAATAAGATCCACAATGTTGTGCAATTGTCACCACTGTCTAATCCCAGCACCTTTTTGTCCCTTCAAACAGAAACTCTCTCCCTAATGGTGATCGCGCCCCATTCTGCCCTGCCCCCAGGCCCTGTCAACCACTGATCCACGTTCTGTCCCTGCAAGTTTGCCTATTTTAGATACTTCACGTCAACGAAATCACACACTCTGTGGCCTTCTGGCCTTTTCCACCGAGCAGGTTTTCAAATTTCATCCGCATGGTAGCACATATCAGCTTTTTACCTGAATAGTAATCATCGTCTGGATGGACCACATTTTGTTCATGCATTTATCTTTTGATGGTCATTTGTGTTGTTTCCACCTTTTGGCTACTGTGACGAGTACTGTTGTGGACACGAGTGGACAAATATCTGAGTGAAAGACCTTCTTTCTTCTTTTGGGTATCTACCCGGGGGCGAAGTTTCTGGGTCACGTGGCAATTCTGTGTTTGACTTTAACTTTTTGTGGGCCCGCCAGACTGTGTTTCACCGCAGGAAGAGGTGAATTTTTATCCTGAGAACAACAGAGAGCCTGAGAGGACTTGAAGCAGGGAGAATCCTGATCTATGATTTTGAAAAGGTCCCCATGTATAGGTTTTCCTTTTCGGGTGGACACATTCTGTAACCAGATGGAGACGATGGCCGCACAACATTGTGAAAATACTAAATGCCACTGAATTATACGCTTTAAAATTATTAATTTGGGGGCACCTGGCTGGCTTAGTCGGAAGAGCATGCGACTCCTGATCTCCGGGCCATGAGTCCGAGCCCCACGCTGGGTGTAGAGATTAGTTAAAACGTGTTTCAAAGGGGGCACCTGGGTGGCTCAGTCGGTTAAGTGCCTGACTCTTGCTTTCGGCTCAGGTCATGATCTCATCGTTCGGTTCCTGAGATCGATCCCCATGCGTCAGGCTCCTTGCTGACAGCACGGAGCCTGTTTGGGATTCTCTCTCTCTCTCCCTTTCTCTCTGCTGTTCCCCCAATCGTGTGCTCTCAAAATAAATAAACATTTTTTTTTAAAAAAGAAAACTTTAAAATGGTTAATTCTATGTTATATGAATTTCACCACAATTTTTTTAAAAAGTCCGCCTGGCTGCCAGGTGGAGGGGCTAGAGGGTAGGTAGCAAGCGTGTGTTTTGGAAGGTGGGGCTTTGGGGGGCTGCTGCAGGGGTCCCAGTGAGTGATAAGGGAGGCTGGTCAGGCAGGGGGCTGTAGGGAAATGGGAATATCTTAAAGTCCATGGCTGGAGGACCCGGCAGCGAGCAAGAGGAGACCTCAGGCCCTAGTCCTACGTTTATAACTTCAGTCACTGGGTGGGCCGGGTGTTTACAGGGCTGGGAAGTCAAGGGTGACCTGGAACTTCGCTGAAGCTCCTTTCCCAATCTCAGAGCCATGAGGAACTTTCATGGTTGATTTGTACAAGAGGGTAAAGTCAGGCCAGAGCACAGAGCCCACGCGGCTTATACACATCCCATTGTTCTAGGGAGACCCAAGCCTGGCTCCTGCCACTCACCAGCCCCGTGTTGTCCGTCCACTGGAAATCCCTCTCCACGATCCTGTCATTCAGGCCGATCCAAGTGTTTTCACGCCCAAAGCCTGCGAGGTGGGGCATCCTGAGGGCTGGGTGCCCACCCCTCCCCCAGCCTAGGCTGTGGGCCGGAGGAGGGGTGGAAGGTATGGGAGGGGAGGACCCAGCCCCTCCCCCAGCCTCTGTGTGGGCTGAAGGCGGTGTCCCCCCCCCTTCCCAAGCCGATGAGGGTGGGAGGGGCATGAAAAGGGCTGGAATTAGGCTCCAGTCTTGCCACGATTAGTGGCTTAAACAAATAGCCACAGGAAGGAATAAACAGAGACTCATCAGGTTTTGCAGAAATTAGAGTAAGGGATAGGAGAGCCAGCAGGCCGGGCTGGACCAGGCAGGCGGGTGAGACCTAGTGAGGGAATCAGTCACTGAGTGTCCTCAAGGATAAGCATGTGTTTGATTACATTAAGGGGAAAAAACAAAAATGAAGGAACCAGGGAATTAACAAATGAAAGAATTAACAGGGGATGGGATGGGGGAAATGTGAATCATTGGATGGATGAACAAATGGCAGAGGGATAATGAATAAATCAATAAATGCCAGATTTAATTGATGCAACACTCTTTTTCTAGACTTATGCAGAGCTCCTTCCTCATTTCATCCCCCACATCACAGACGCTTCTTCATTGCCCTCTTTCCCCTGGCTCTGTTTTATTTGTCATCAGTGCACTTAGGACCAGCTAAATTATAGTATAGACTTATTTAATTAGATATTTACTTGTTTGCCTATAGCCCTTACAAGAATGTCAATCCCTGCAGACAGGACAATATGCGTCTCACTCACTGCTGTGTCCCAATGCCCGGAACGGTGCCTGGCACATAGCAGAAACTCAGTAAATATTTGGTGAGTTAATGAATGAAGTGAAGTATGAAATAACAAGTGAATAAATGGACATATGAATTCAAGTGGTCAGGGCTAGCATTAATAAACACAGCTTCAGAAAGGTAGTGTCTTCAGGACCCTAGGGGATGCCCTGGCAAAGGGACTGCAAGGGCCACCCCGCCCACTCCAGAGTCCCTACTGTTAATGAAGCTGTGTTCCTCGGGTGAGTGGACGCTGGTCAGGTGGCCCGCTCGGCGGCGGCAGTCCCTCTCGGCGTCCTCCCACGCCCGTCGATGGGCAAAGTAGCGGTAGCAGTGGCCCTGGAACTTGTGCCAGCCGTGGTCACAGCCCTCTGTGTCTGGGAGGTGGGATGGGAGCGTGAGGGAGACTGGCCTTGTGTCAAGGCCTGCCCTGCTGGTCATGAGCACAGCCAGCGCACCAGAGAGAAGGCCAAAACCAAGGTCACTGTGGGGCCAGATCACCCCTCTTCCTCCCCCCATCCTCCTGAGGCTCTGTCCCCCCACCCTTTTTACCTCTCCCCCCCATATTCACTTCTTTCTCTGTCGCAGGAAGATATTCAACTGAAGATCATTACACCCATCCCTCTCATCCCAACTCTGATGTTTCCTCTGATCTGGCCACACCCTCTGTGTGGACCTGGGAACTCAGGAGATGGTCTCAGGAAGCCCTAAAATTTCTCTCCCGGCAAAAGGCTCAAATAGACATTTCTCCGCAAAAGATATACAGATGGCCAATAAACACATGAAAAGATGCTCAATATGGTTAGTCATTAGGAAACGCAAATCAGAACCATGATGGGACACTACTTCGCACCCACTGGGATGGATAGAATTAAAAAAAAAAAATGGGGCATCTGGGTGGCTCAGTTGGTTGAGCCTCCGACTTCGGCTCAGGTCATGATCTCACGGTCTATGAGTTCGAGCCCCGTGCCGGGCTCTGTGCTGACAGCTCAGAGCCTGGAGCCTGCTTCCCGTTCTGTGTCTCCCTCTCTCTCTGACCCTCCCCTGTTCATGCTCTGTCTCTCTCTGTCTCAAAAATAAATAAACATTTAAAACAAAAATTTTTTTAAAAAAGGAAAATAACAAACGTTGGCAAGGATGTGGAGAAATTGGAACACTTGTACATCGCTGGCAGGGATGTAAAATGGTGCAGCCACTGTGGAAAACAGCCTTGTAGTTCCTCAAAATGTTAAACACAGAATTGCCATATGATCCCGCCATTGTACTACTGAATATACACCAAAAAGGATGGGGGGAGAAAAAAGGAAAACGTTGTCCAAACAAAAACTTACACACGAATGTTCATAGTGGCACTATTCATATTAACCACAAGGGGGAGACAACCCAAATATCCACCAAGCGATGACCGGATAAAGAAAATGTGATATCTCCTTACAATGGAATATTATTCAGCCATAAAAAAGAATGAAGCAATGATACACACTATAATGTAGATGAATCTGGAAACCATCATGCTAAGTGAAAGAAAGCAGACACAAAATGACACAGAGTGCATGACCTCATTTATATGAAACATCCAGAACCAGCAAATCCATTGAGACAGAAAGTAGATTAGTGGTTGGTTACCAGGGGCTGAGGGAGATGGAATGGGGAGTGACTGCTAATGGATACAGGATTCCTTTTTGGGGTGATGAAAATGTGTTGGAAATAGCTAGAGGTGGTGGTTGCACAATATTGTGAATGCGCGGAATGCCACTGAGTTGTACATTCTAAAAAGGTTAATTCTATGTTACGTGAATTTTATCCCCAAACAACAATTTGTCATCTGTTCAACTCACGGCCACAGAAACAGAGATGGAGACCTGAAGCATATGTGAGAAACATGTGGCCCAGCAACCAGCCCCCTCTTGGTACTGTTTCTGGGGTCTCGGTAGAGACTCACCTTTCTCGCAGAGGCTACCCCCGTAGCTGGGGAGGCAAAGGCAGACGAACGTGTTGACCTCATCAATGCAGGTGCCTCCGTTCTCACATGGGCTGGAGACACAGTCATCAATATCTGGAGGGGGGGGGACTGAGTTAGAGGTCAGCCTCCCCTTGGCTCCCAGTCCCCACAAGGAACCAGGCAGAAGATGAGGTCATGGTCCTACCATCCATCCTGGACCTGAGTGAAGCAACGGTGGTCTGCACAGATGGCCCAATGACTCTGGAGGCCAAGGGGGTGGAACCTCAAACAATTAGCATGAATTAGCATTAATGAGAGCAGATGCCACTGGGCCAGCTGAGAGCCAGAGTGTGTGGAATGCTTCACTGGCCTTCAGAAGAGTGAAGGTTATACTCTGGCAAACAGACTCCTAGAATGTTGAAGATGGAGGGTCCTACCAGAATGTGGAACTTGGGGAAACTGAGTTCCATAACATTTGCAAGGACTTGCACAGAGGCACAAAGCTGTTTGTAGGTAGAGCTAGAAATCAGTTGAACTAGATCTCAGATGAGCTCTCATTCAACCAATTTCTGTGTAGATTGTGCCTGAGTGACTTGGGCAAGTCACTTCCCATCTCTGGGACTCATTTTCGTTTTTGCAAAATGGTGATAATAATAGCACCTCCTCAAGAGTGGTTGTCGGTGGAGGGTCCATGGAAGAGCTCACGAAATTACATTGCTTATATTTATTGTTATAATTCTATAATTAGTATGGTTGTGAAATGAAATAATGTGCAGGGCTCAAGATTTATGTCATTTATATTTATTGTTAAAATTTCCTAATTTGTCATATTCCCTGTGTTGGGCTTTGGGGCTAGGGAGAACCCCCTTGGATCAGGGAGGAATCTGAGCCTTATCATTTGTCTTTTCCTCTCATCTCTGCCTGGTAGTGACGGGTGGCAGGACACCTGAGCCATGGTACCCGGGACAAGAGTTCAGCTGTTTGGTGCTGGTTCACCTAATTGGGACTGAGTTACTGGATCCAAAGAAAGGGGGAGGAGAAGGGAGCATCTGAAGCCGGCATTTTATCCCTCAGTCCTCATGGGGATGGCTGCTGAGGTAGACCCCAGGGTTCTGATCCAAACAAGTCTAGGTTCAGATCCTGAGTCTGGGGCACTCACCAATCTCACAGTTCTCCCCGGCGAAGCCCTGGTCACAGCTACAGCCGTACATGGTGCCGTTGGCTTTACAGGTGCCCCCATGCAGGCAAGGGTTGTTCTCGCAGGGATCCAAGGGGGCTGCAGGATGGACAGGCAGTGTAGAGAGGAGGCAGGCCACCATGTCGTCTGCCTTCCTGGCATCCAGACCTAAGACTCCCCCAAACCCTCTCTGTGGAGTCCCCTCTATAACTTCCCAATAGGCAGTTGCGGTTGTCAGTTTCCTCTTGCATTCTCCTCTAATGAGGAGCTTATTCCTTTCAGGAACTGCCCCAGAGCATCTGTGGGCCACTCTGCTTATGGAAACAGACTGTAGTGGAACTGGCTTCCTAAAGCTTCTTTTGGGAAGTCTCCCAGAACATGGATTTAAGTGCTTCCCTGACTCGTCCCTCTCTTCTGGACATGGCCTGATGGCCATTGCACTTCTCACAACTTGGAGCACAGAGGTGGAGGTAAGGTCCCAGGTAGGGTATGAACAGCACTAGCCAAGAGGGAGAACTATCACCTCCTTCATTCTGGTGGCTCGGTCTTTTTTGATGCAGTGGTTGGAGAGGTGCTGGATTATTGTAGTTATAACCACGGGCTCTGGAATCAGAGAGGTTAGTTCAATCCCTGACTCCGCCACTTATTAAGGACCCTGGACAAATTACTTCTCTGAATTTCAGTTGCCTCATCCACAAAATAGAAATCAAAACAGTTTGTCCCTCTCCCGGTCTTGACCATAATGCCATGTCCAGCTCTGTCTATATCAGCTTGAGGCATCTTCAGAGGTCTCAGCATTGCTCTGTATGGATTTGGCACTCAGGGAGCATTGAGGAGTATGTGTCCTTGTCCCCCTCCCCCACCATTTCCCCCCTCAGCTGGGCTTCCCTGGAAGCAGTTGAGTCTCCCCTCCCCATCTCAGAGGCCCCGATGCCTTGGTGGGTGGTCTCCACCCTGGAGCCTGGGAGGCACAGAGCGAGAATTCTCATCCTATCCCAGCCAACCCCCATCCCTTATCAGGGCAGCGTCCAATCCTCCACTGCATAGACACCAGAACCAAGGCCCAGAGAAGAGCAGGGCCTGGCTCGAAGCCACACAGCAGAACAGTACAAGAACCAAGACTGGCCTCCCAGGCTCTGTTCTGGAAGCCCAGTTTAAGGTCCCCCTCTCCAACTCCTATAACCTAGAATTTGTTTCTGAATTTGTTTCTTGGCCCAAGGCCTCGCAAGATATTAAGATGGTAATAAGCAGTTGCCTCCTCCCTGGTCTGATCTCTGCCGTCTGATCTCTGTTCTCCCTGTAGTCGCCAGAGGTAGCCTATGTAAACCTGAGTTAAATCATGTCCCTCCTCTGCCCAGGTCCCTCCATGGCTCCCCCAATACCCTCAGAGGAAAAGCCAAAGTCCTCACTGCAGCCCATGGGACCCTGTGTGATTTTTTTCCCAACATCTCCCTGCCCTACCTCCTCCTGTCTTCCCCTGGCTCATTCTGCTCCAGCCATACTGGCGCTGCTGTTCTACTACATGCCAGGCAGAGGTCTGCCTCAGGACCTTTGTACAGGCTATTCCCTCTGCCTGGAATGCTCTTCTCCTAGATCTCTGCATGGCTCCTCCCTCCCCCTTTTCAGCCTTGCTCAAATTTCAACTGGTTAGAGAGGCCTTTCTGACCCCCCCCCTTCTAAAACTAGAAAACACCCATGGGCATCCCCCACCCTTTGGTTTACTTTTCTCTTTTGCCCATATCACTTTCTAACTTCCAATGTTATTTGCTTATTTACTAAGATCATCATTATTTGTCAGCACCTTCCCCCAGAGCAGTGATGTTCCACACGGCAGCCATATATAGCTATTCAAGTTTAAATTCAAATGGAATAAAAGTAAAAAGGCAGTTTCTCAGTCACGCTAACCACATTTCAAGGGCTCAGTAACCACACATGGCTGGTTGCGCCCATATTAGACAGCATAGCTCCAGAACATTTCCATCGCTGGGAAAGTTCTAGAATGTTGCCCTAGAATGTCAGCTTCCACAGGACAAGGGACCTGGTCTCAAAATGGGGCCTGAAACACAGCGGGCCCTCAATAATCGCTCATTAACTGAATGACATGAAGATAGCTCCTGGCCCTTCTGTAGAGGTTGGAGCCTGTCCCGGGGGTGGTGGGCCCAGAGGGGCCTGGGGCTGGTGTATCTGTCCCTGCTATCACCCCTGCACGTGTGTGCACACGCCTGGGGCTGCTGGGTGCTGGGACGCGTGAGCCCCGCCAGGTGCCCTGAGCTGCTGACACCTACCCACGGGCTGGCGGTGACTCAGTCGCTCACTGGTGCTGCATTTATTTTTGGCTTCATTAGCATTTCTGCTACAAGCAGGCGGGTGGGTAGGCGCCTGGGTCTCCCCCAGCGTTGGCTGCCTCCCTCCACCCAGGCTGCCACTGGCTTCAGTCTAGAGCCAAGAAAACAGCAAGGTCCAAGACAAATCCAGCTGTAGTCTTAGGGGCTCCACCCAAAGCACTTTCCTTAGCACCCCTATATATGGTTGTCCTCCCACCTCTCTGTTCACCCCTTTCTAGCTCCTCTGGCTTGGAGCTTCCTTCCCTCTGCCCATCCCGCCCACCAGTCTCTTCTCTGCTCCTTCCCTGGATGAGCTCACCCCCTCCTCAAGACCTCAGGCGTTTGTTTTTTATACCAATGAAATATGCATTGTATGACCTAGTGTTTGAGACAGACTGTTGTCAGATGGCCTGGATTCAAATCTTATCATTTACACTCCTCGGGCTGCAAGGTTCCGCACAAGTCATCTGACTTCCCTGTGCCTCAGTCTCTCCATCTGCAAAGTGAGGATCTTACTAGAACTTGTTCCACAAGGACATCATAAGGATTTACCAAGTTGGTTGCAGTAAAGTGCTTAGAACAAGCCAAGCATGCAGTCTTTAGTGACGCTTGCGCCCCTGCCCAGGGTCTGCTTGCCTCCTGGGCATCTAAGAAAAAAGGCTGTAGTCCTGGAGACGGCCCCGGAGGTGACAGGGTGGGCTACAAAACCCTGCATCTGCTATTTGCATTGCCACTACACCTTGCCTTCAAAAAAAAGAGCAAGTGTAAAACCAATTGTGTTAATAAGAGTGTTTTGCAACTCAGAATAAGTGTTTTTTAATTAGCTGCTGCTGCTTTTTTTTTTTTAAAGCTCAATTGACCAAAAAAAAAAAAAAAAAAAAAAAAAAAAAAAAAAGCCAAAATTTGCAGGCTGAGCTAGTGGGCAGACCTAGCCCCAGGGAAACAGGGCATTTGGCTTTCTCTGGACTCCACTAGGCACAGAACAGTTAAGGCTCCCACAGACTTGGGCTCTGATTGAAGTCTGGCCACTGGCCACTGACTAGGAGGCAGTCATACCTCCCTAAGCCTTATTTTGCTTTCTATAAAACGGGGGTGATGTCCACCCCTCCTGCCCCTTCCCAGCACCCACTTTCCCTGTGGCTCGAGGCCCCCCGACGATCCACCATCACTGAATCCCAGTTGCAATTCCCACTTGAACAGAAAGCCCTCTTTGTCACGCTTCCTCCCTCCAGCCCCGCATCGGGGTGCCTGTGTCCAGCTCTGTCTTCCCAGACTGAGGCTTCACTGAAGGCCAGACCCCAGTATTGCACAGCACCGTCTGGCTCAGAGTGGACATGAACATGATTTATCCCCCAAATCAAACTCCACCCAATGCCTCGTTATTCCCCCCTCGCTGTGCATCAAAACCAAGATGTAACTTCACCTCCTGGCCTTTGCCCAGGCTGGTGTTCCAGCCCAGGTTCCTGGTCTCTTCCAGGAACACCCTTTCCGCAATTCAACTCTGCCTAGTGAGCTCCCATCTCCAGCATCATCCCCTGCTAGAAACCTTCCCAGGCCCCCCAAAACAATCCTTCCTCCCAGATCTGGGCGCCCCAGCCCCTGTCCCCAAGCCCTGACAACAGTGGGCTGGATGAGGTCACAAGCTTTGAACTCACCCTCCTCTGTACTTCCATTTGCTGGGGTCCCTGGCAGGGTCGGCTCTTCTCCACTCGCTGCCTCCTCCCAGAAGCCCTCCACACCTGGGCTCCCTGAAAGGACCTCCAGCTCAAACTCCTCTGGGCCCAGGGAGGCCGGCAGTGGGGTGCTGGGAGAGTCACCCGGCACTGTAGGCTCTCCTGAGGAAACTGAGACAGGCTTGTCCGTGCTGGCTGCCGTTGGTGTCCAAGGAGGAAAAACAGGCTCCCCTGGGGGGCTGCTGTCCTGTGAAGGGGCCAAGGCTCCCAGTATTCCCTGGGTCACCATCTGGCCCTCCGGCTCTGGATGGGGTTGGGAGCTCGAGGAGGCCACTGTGGACATGGCCAGGACTCCAGCCTTGTCCCCTTGGTCCACGGACATGAGGGACATCACTACGCTTGAATCCACGGCCACTCGAGGGCTCAGGGTGGGGCTTTCAGCTCCCTCAACCACATGGGATCCAGGTGCCCAAATCCCACCAGCATCACTGGGGGCCAGTGTGGCCGTGGAATCTGTGGGCCCCACCACGGCTTCTCCGTTTATAGTGGCCCAAGGCTCCAAACTTGGGGTGACCCCAGGAATTAAGAGGACTCTAGGAACACCCGAGGGTGCAGATGGGGGGTGGGAGTCCAGCCCTTCACTGTGCAGTGAGGGCCACGTGCCCTGTGCCTTGTCCGTGGTGGCCTGAGCGCCAAAAGTGGGGCTTTCTGCTGTGCCGAAGACCCCAGACTCAGACCCTGAGATGTCTCTCACTCCCGTGGGCTCAGTGGCAGTCTCAGTGGCGGCGAAATCTTCCGCCACATTCCTGTCCACAGCAGCTTGTGGACTGGATCTGGGGCGCTCAGCTTTGCTGGGCCCAGTAGGGCTGGTCCCCCCAATTTCTCCCAAGTCTGCCCTGGGAGAGTTAGGACTGGCTTGTGTGTCTGTGGCTGTCTGCAAAGGAGCTACTGCACTTCCTGTTCTGTGGCCGCTGACTGTCGGGGGTGTGGCCTCTCTACCCTGTCCTGTGGGGCCTGAGGAGAGGGGCAAGGAATGCATTTCTGGATAGATAGGGTCCTGGGGGACAGCCTCAGTGTCTGAGGCAGGGGAGGGTGGTACAGAAGCCACGGCCTCACTATGCCCCTTGACCCTGTTGGCCTGCGTGGGGAGGGGCGTCGGGTTTGGATGAAGCCACAGTTTGGGGGCACGAAGCATGGCCATGACAGGAAAGTCTGGGGAAGTGACCATGGGGGATACCTCCCAGGGGGCACTGCTGGGACCCTCTGAGGGGTTGGGTTCTAGGGCAGTGACCTCTGAGGGAGACCAGGACAGTTCAGGAGCGGCCGGCCTCACACTGGGGCCCTTGGCTTCCTCTAGTTCCAGGCCAGCAATGCTGCTGAGGCCTGGGACGCTGGGTGGGGCCACGGTCGGGGGCCACAGCCAGGGCTCTGGGGGGCTCCTGCCACCAGGGAAACCTGCAACAATATCAACAAGAGTGATTCTAATGATCTCTCAGCAGTTCCTTCTGTGGAGTCCCGTTGGCTCCCAGGCCCAAGGAGGAGGGGGTTTCTGAGGCTTGGTGAGGCCTGAGGACCCAGCTGGGGTTTGGAACCTCTTCCCCTGTCCTCCTCAGACCCCCAGGCAGGTCCCACCTCTCCCTTGGACCCCACTCACCAGCTCCAGGCACATCCACTTCATTGGTCAGCACAGCCCAAGGGCTTTGGCTCCGGCTATCCCCTGAAGCATCTGTGGCTCCTGTGGCCAGCAGAGGCTCCACGTGATTCCCAGCAGCCTCTGGGGTCAGGGCCTGGGTGCTGGCCTCAAGCCCCACCTCCAGGCCTCGGTGGGGTTCCTGCTGCTGGAAGTGGCGCCCATTCAACCCTTTAAAGCGTCCCCTCCTCCTGGGCACGGGGCCAGTTGGAGTCGCCTCCATGTGAGCGCCCACTGCAGTGCTGGGGCTGCTAGGGCTGGGGGCCACTGTGCTCGGCCACACCTCTTCAGCCTCCCGGGGGGGCCTTGAGGCTAGCATGAAGCCTCCAGGAGCAGGGCTGCGGGTCGCCTGAGACTCCTGCTTCTCTGCCAAGATCAGAGGCTCTTCTTCCCCACTGGATACTAGAGGCTCCTGGAAGTCAGGGGTGACCATCTCCTTCCCAGTGCTGGGTTCCACTTCTTGGGCTGGAGGCCCTTCTGCTGACAGAATCTCCCCCTCATCCCCAGATGAGGGGGTCTCTGGGTCTCCATGTGGTGGTGTAGGATGATGAGCTGTGGGAGAAAGCCGAAAAGGTTGTGTTAGGAAGGTTGGCCAGGAAGTTCTGCCTGAAGTCTACCCCCACTCTAGCATGCTGCAGTGTGAACCGTCTGTGTCTCTCTGTTTCTCTGTGCCCCTCTGTCTCTAAAATCTCTGCGTGGTTTCTGGGACCCCCTAAACCCAGAGAGAGGAAGGTGTGAAGTTAACACTCCTACTGTTCAGGCTGGGGCCCACTGTCAAGGTCAGTCAACTGGTCATGGGGAGGGGTCAAGAGACAGCTAGGTTCCTGGGTAAAGCTCAGGCAGTGGCCAATTCTCATGGGGGCAGGTCAGACCTGGACCATAGCTTCTCCCCCAGGGGGAGGAAGCTCCTAATAAGCGTGGCCTTCCTACAAAGGGATTTTTTTCCCTCTTACACATTAGTCTTAGGTCCTTGGAGCCAGGTTCCCAGCTTCTGAAACTTTGGTCCCACTCCAAGGACTAAGGTCATCCCTAGTCCCTGGAGGTGTGGCCTTGCCTTGGGGCCGTGGCTAATGGAACAGCACTTCCTCCTCCGGGGATGCTTATGCACAAGGCTCCAGCTAAAATATGCTCCACTCAGAAGTGTGTCTTTCAGGGACCTTAAGAGATACAGCTCACTCTCAACGGAACTTCCCCGCCAGAGTTTGGCCTTTTCGGGCCCCGATCCTACCCCCAGGGCGGGGCTCCTAGGGAAAGGGGCGTGGGCTTCACCGAGGGCATGGCTTATCTCAGAGCGTATTTCCAAGGGTGTCTCTCCTCTGTCTGGGCTCCGCCTCCACTAGAAAGGAAAATTCCCAGGGGCGTGGCCTTGACCTGGATGTATAGCTTTGGGGCGTGGCTGCCAGGGGACGCACCTTCCAGGGGCTTGACCTTACACGCACCTCGGAAGCAGTAGGCATCGAAGCGCGCTCCGGGCGCCGGGAAGCCAGTGCGGTTGGCGAAACGGTAGACTGTGCGCACGCCGGGGGTTGGGCCGCCGCAGCGCCGGCGCGGCGTCTGGATCGGGTAGCGCACGCTGCCGTCGGCTAGCCAGCCCGGGTCGCACTGGTCCAGGCCCTCGTGCCAGGCCAAGTGCAGCTGTCCCACCGAGGCTAGCGCGGCGCCCTGGCGGCGGCACTGGGCACGCGCGCCGGCCAGGGTCAGGCGGCGGGCCGGGCCCACATAGAAGACCTCGCCTGCGGGAAGGCGCGAGCGAAGGTCAAGCGGGCCTGGGGAATTCTCCCCTGAAGCCCGGGAAGGGGGTCCCACTCTGAACTCCAGCCTGGCCGGGTTTGGGTGGTGGCTAAACAAGGCGGCGACAGCCGCCGCTGTGCGCACCGCCGCCCGCGCTGTGGTCTTTACCTCTCAGGCAGTGCTAGGAAGAAGAGGGCCTTAGCTTCTTTTTACAAATGAGGTAACAGGCCTTTGAGTGTGTTGGGCTCCAGAGAAAGGGAGGATCTTGGCGCGGGGAGGGGGCTCAGAGAGTAAGAGAAGGGTAGGAATAGGGAGAGGGGCCAGGGAGGGGGAGAGTCTCAGAGAAGAGACAGGGCCTCAGAGAGAGGGAAGGGGCACAGAGAAGGAGAGGGGCTCAGGGAGGGAAGGAAAGCTCAGAGAAGGGTGAGCCCAGATATTGGCTGCAGGTTTATAGAGGGATGAGACTTAGGAGAGCTAGGCAAGGACTTAGGGAGGAATGGGGGTTGGGGAGGGTAATAGGTACTCAGGGAAGTGAGGGTGGGGGGTCCTGCCAGCCCCAGACTTACCCCCCAGCTCACGGGCAAAGCAATACACATCGTAGAGTTCCCGTGGGTCGCGCCTCCCATAGCTCCTCACCCCTGGAAGGCTGCTACGGTCGCCATAGCAACCAGGACGGGACTGGGTGATAGGATACCTGACAAGACAAGGAGGGGGTCCCTCTCAAATATGTGCGCCTGGGGCCCCCAACGACCATCTTTCCCCAGGGGCTAGGTCTCCATGTCCCAACCCTGTGTACCCCCTCACCGAACAGTGCGGTCAGAGAGCCAGCCGGCATCACAGTTGTCAAAGCCATCTTCAAAGGCAGCCTGCAGGTGCCGTGGGGCTGCAATGGTGGCTGAGCTGAGACGGCAGGCCTCCTGGGCCTCTGCGAAGGTCAGTGCATAGCGATCCTGGGCTGCCCGGTAGTGGAACACAACACCTGTTGGGGAACATCCAGGATAGGGGGCTGACTTATGCTGCAATCTTCAAGAACTGACCTCCTTCTTGCAGAATGCCCCTTCTCCTAGTTTGATAATAATAAACCTGCTCCCCTATGCTGCCCTGTACCATGCCAGACTGATATGACCCCATTTTTAAATAAGGAAATTGGTAACGATGACCATAAAGGGCTAAAATGTGTCTAATGTTTACCATGTAGAAAGCATTTATAAGCAAGATCTCAATGAAATCTTACAACAACACTGTGATTATCCCCATTTCCAGAGGAGAAAACTAAGGCTCAGAGACGCTGAGGCACATGTTCCGCTCCACACAGCCAGTATGAGGCACAGCCAAAATTCATAACCAGGATGCTCTGACTCCAAAGATAGCACTCTTCATGCCTAGGGTTAGACCTTGGAGGTGACAGGAGGCATGGAGAAGAGGGAGATTCTTCCTTTTAAAAATAAAGTACATGCTGGGGTGCCTGACTGTCTCAGCAGGGTAAGCATATGACTCTTGATCTTGGGATTGTGAGTTCAAACCCCACATTGGGTGTGGAGATTACTTAAAAATAAAATCTTAAAAACAAAAACAAAAACAAAGGAATTAAGTACATGTATTGATAGGGAAAGCACAGGTGGCAATGGGAGATCAAGTCGTTCTTGCCCAGCCTGGGAATGCAGTCACAGAAGACTTCCTAGAGGAGGTGACTTGTAAGCCAGGATGGGAAGCATAAATAATGGGCTCGCTGTGACTCAAATTCTGATTTAGGATGAAAGAAATGGCTGAGCAAGACAAAGGAATGAAACATTCGATTCCATTTTATCAAACTCCGAGCTCCTGGAAGACAGTGGCTGCGTCTCAGTTATGAATATGTTCCCAGCACCAGACTAGCATGTGGTAGGTAGGTGCTCAATACACGTTCAGTTGAATGAATGAATTGAACAATCCCAGAAGTAGATTTTACTTCCTTCATCACTTATCGGTTTTCTTCAAGGTTTATCAGTTTTGAGCAGCGAGGCCGTGTAAAAGGGACAGTTGGCTGACCCCATAAAATATGCAGTGAGACACTGTTGGGTGGGAGAACACTGTGCTCCAGGACAGGTGGTTCAGGGATTTGCCCGTGGCCAGCATAGGTCAAGGTAAATCGACTTCCCAGCAAGAACCCACAGGATGTTTTACACACAACAATCCATTCATTTGTCAATTGAGTCATTTGTCAATTACCTATGGAGCGTCTACTGTGCCACCCCTGTGCTAGTAGGACTTTGCTTTCATAATTAATAAACTTTTTGTTTTGTTTTGTTTTGTCCACCTTGATCAGTTAGGAAAAGAGAAACACTGGCTATTTCAACAGAAAGAATTTAATACAGGAGTTGGTCAAACAGGTATTTGAGGACTGTTACTTACTTAATATATATTTTCAGTTGGCTATGAAAAGAAAACCTCACTCTTATTTAAAAAAAACATCATTTTATTGTAAAAGGAAATTTGTATTCCTATTTTATTTTTTTAAAGTTTATTTATTTTGAGAGAGCGAGCATGCGAAGGGAAGGGGCAGAGACAGAGGGGGACAGAGGATCCGAAGTAGGCTCCACGTGGACAGCAGAGATCCCATGTGGGGCTTGAACTCACGAACCATGAGATCATGACCTGAGCCAAGTTGGATACATAACTGACTGAGCCACCCAGGTGCCCTTGTATTCCTATTTTAAACAGAAAGTCAATATCCTTTGTCTTATGTGAAAGTAGGTAACCATGAAAGGGACTTATAATGAGGTTAGGAGGGGCGCCTGGAAGCTCAGTACGTTAGGCATCTGACTCTTGATTTCGGCTCAGGTCATGATCCCGAAGTTTGTGGACTGGAGCCCCACATTGGGCTCTATGCTGACAGTGTGGAGCCTGTTTGGGATTCTCTCTCTTTCCCTCTCTCTCTGTCCCCCCCTCACTTGCATTGTCTCTCTCTCTCTCTCTCTCTCTCAAAGTAAATAAACTTAAAAAAAAAGCTTATGAAATCCTATAAAATACTGTGGTCCACAATAGATGGAGCCAGAAGCTGCTTTGTCTTAGCTAAAAAAGAGAGAAGTAGGGCGCCTGGGTGGCTCAGTCGGTTGAGCGTCCGACTTCAGCTCAGGTCACGATCTCGCAGTCCGCGAGTTCGAGCCCCGCGTTGGGCTCTGGGCTGATGGCTCAGAGCCTGGAGCCTGCTTCCGATTCTGTGTCTCCCTCTCTCTCTGCCCCTCCCCCGTTCATGCTGTGTCTCTCTCTGTCTCAAAAATAAATAAACGTTAAAAAAAATTTTTTTTAAATAAAAGAGAGAGAAGTATTAAAGAAAGGGTAGCACTGGAGGAGACTTTCTTTGGGACTTTACTTTGTCAGAAGAATTGAAAGGGAATCATTGTTCAGGGAATGACTTCTAAGGTGACATTCTGTGGGTGAGCTTCAGGCTCAGCACCTCCCCTCCCAGCCTTGTCCTCTCCCCTGTCCTCAACTGACCTGTCACCTCCAGGGGCACGAGGTCCTGCTCATCCTCTATGCCCCTCACCACCTGGCAGCGGTAGAGCCCAGAGTCGCTGGCTCTCAGTGGTCCCAGTAGTAGCGTCGCGTTGGCCCGGTGCCGGGGGTAGGCAGGCAGTGAAACACGTCCCTGCCAGCCCTTGGCCACTCGAACCACATTGTCCTTGGCCACCAGAATAGGCAAGTCCTGCCGCTGGCCTGATGCAGTCCGCACCTTGGTCCACTTGATCCGAGGGGCTTCTCGGCCTGCATCTGGCCATGGTCGCAGGGTGAAGAGACAGGGCAGGGCCACTAACTCTGCCAGCGCAGCCCGAACCAACCCCGACCCCACCTTCTGCATGTGGAGCCCCTTGTTGGCGGCAGCAGAGGCAGCAGCAGTGGCATCCTGTGTGCCTGGGGTGGAGAAGGTGGAAAGAGGACCTGACTCAAAGACAAAGACCAGCAGAGACTGCTATTTCTCTCACTTTACTGATAAGGAGACTGAAGCCAGAGAGGTTAGGTTGCCTACAATATCACAATGCAGTGAACAGATCTGTGATGTGCACCCCAATCTGTGAGCAAAAGTGGAGTCACATGCCTTCATAGCGGTGCATCCACTCAAAATCCAGACCCCGGCTGCCAGGGATTTGACTCTGTCACTGACTCACTGTGTGGTCATGGGAAAGTCACTTAACCCCAAAGTCCAGTAAGAAGCAGCCATTAGAAGGAAAATGCGCTTGAGGAGTACCTTCTTGATAACAGGGGCACTTTTATACATAGCGATCAGCTCATTTGATTTTCATAACCATAGGCAGAAGTAGCCATGTCTCACTGTCTTTTTGGAGGGTTGAGGAAACTGAGTCTCAGAGACATCGTTGTACTTGCCTAACCACAGAGCAAATCAGGGGGCATTTCCAGTGCCTGGGCTTTTAACCATCACTGGGGAGATGCCAGGGAGAGTTATACATGCCTTATTTCTATTGCCCCGCCCATGACAGGCATCACTAATCAATCTCCGCACTGTTTTCATTTTTTTCTCTCTCTCTTCAGCTCAGCTCAGCAAAACAGTGAGAGGCAGGAACCTCCAGCCTCCGCTGGCAATGACTAAAAATAACCTCTCAGGTGTCTTGTTCACTTTTGACTATTCAAAGACCTTTTTCATCTATTCTCATTTTATTCTCCAGACCAAGCCAGGGAACCAGCAGGAGAAAGCTCTAGAGTTAAAAAGCTGCCCCATCTTGTCAGTCCCCCAGAACCCAACCTCTCCCACCCCACAAGCTAACTCACTCTGTTCCCCAGCCACAAACAGCAGCATCTGGAGCATCAGGAGGCCCAAGGCCCAGACAGACGTGGCCCCCATGCTGGACCTGGAAAAAGATGGAGACAGAGGGAGAATGGGGGTGAGTACAACCCACCCAGTTAGTGTGGAAGGACCAAGTCTCCCCATTCTACAGACCTAGAAACAGACTCAGAGAGGCTAACGTGTCACTCAAGGTCACACAGTCAGCAAGCAAGGGTTAACCCAGGGTCCAAACCCAGGACCGGCTGACTTCAGAATCCCAGCAGTGAAGTTTCACAGTCAGAAGTAAGGGTGTTAAAGAGAATCAGACCTGGTATTGTCTATCTGCCTGTTCCTTGCTGTGTGACCTTCAACAAGTAGATTAGCTTCTCTATGCCTCAGTTTCTTTGTAGGTTAGCTAGGGATAACATCAGGTAGTTGGAAGGAATAGATGGGTAAATACAGTCAATATGTACAAAATGCCTAGAACTGCCTGGCATGAAAGAATAGATTTGAGCTGTTTTTTAAAAAATGTATTTATTTAATCTCTATGCCCAACGTGGGACTCGAACTCACAACCCTAAGATCAAGGGCCACATGCTCTTCTGATTGAGCCAGCCGGGTGCCCCTGAGCTGTTGTTATTACTACTATTGACCTTAACACAGCCAAGATCAAAATCCCATCTTTCATGTTGGCCTCACCCATAAGACTAGGATTCCAGGAGGGCAGTAGCCAGTCCCAGTCAGCCTGAGGTCCCCAGTCCTCGCAGTAGGCTGGCCTCCAAGCCAGCCTTTAATCTGGGTTTGCTGACTGACACGATTCTCAGCTTCAATTCCAGGATTTGGTTGTCGCCAAGATTCTATTCTTGGTTTCCGGGATTTTTGAGAAGCTGCCAAGTCCCAGCTGGAGGAAGGGGCCTCACCCCTGCCCACCCCACCCTCCTCCTGACTTCATACCACCTGGCAAAGATGCCTCCTAGGTCCACAGAGAAACTCCAGTTGTGGGTCCAGCCTTCTATAGGGGTTGTGGCCCTCAGACATAAAATGGACAATTACTGAGTGCCAACTGTAAGTAAGGCCCAATCCAGGCACCGGGACACAGCAGTGCTCTCCCAGGCCTCACATTCTTCCAGAGACCAGAAACTCTGGGGAGATAGTCCCTCCCCAAAGCCTCACAGCCCCTCTGTACCACTCCCCTCACTGGGGCTCAGGAGGTGGGGACAGATGGCAAGTTAGGGCATCCTCTAAAAATCTAACTCTTGCAGCCTCCCCCAATAAAAGAATAGCACTGAGGAGGGGAGTGTAGATAGCATCCAGCATGGGGGCTGTGGAGGAAAGCTGGTCCCATTCCCAGTGCTCTTTCCCTGCTCCCAGAGTCCCTACTGGGAGGCCAGCCGGGGCCCTATCCGTGGTGCTGAACTCTAGGGAGGCAAAGCAATGACATGCCCACTTGGTCTCCTTGTCTTCCTCTGGCAGCGGCACCACAGCTTCACCCGGGACCCAGAGAGGGCTAGCAGTTTGCCTAGGGCTGCACAGCGGATCAGAGGCCAGACCTCGGGATGGTGCCCCCAACTCCCAACCTGTAAACCTTAGCAACTTCTGCCTCCATTCCCGGCTGTCCTCATTTCTCCCCCTTGGAATCCTGAACAAGTGCAGGATCCTCTGATGGCTCTACAAGGCCTGACGAGGAGGACCTTAGGAGGGGGTGAGTTCACAGAATTCATACACACACACACACACACACACACACACACACACAC